CATAGATGCATATAAAAAACAATCACTTTGAAATTATTGCAATGCCATCCGCTGCATAACTCGCATTGCTACATACATCCGCAAGATGTCTCATTTTATTTTGAATCAAACACTTGGAAATCGTGAGGTTTAAAAAAATGTATCAAATAAAAATTATAAGATTTGCTAAGAGTCACATAATTATGATATTAGTTTATTAAAATGTGATCACTACCGCCACTTTTGTGAATAAAATTATATATTTTCTTTTATGTAATATGATTGATAATTATATTGTGACTATAATAATATTAAAGTATAATTACCAGAATCAATGATTTACAAAATGTTTTATTATTTTTTATTCTGATATGTTTTCATATAAAATATAAAATGTAAATGTATTGAAGAATGTATGAAGAAAGGATCTCTTAAAAAAGAGGTATTTGCATATAATTAATTATATAATTTTTTTATAGTAACTATAAAAAATATAATAACATAATTATACAATTAAAAAAATATAATAATATAATTATGTTTTATATAATCATATATAATTAAATAAAATTATACCTATATAATTATACCTTTTCCATGTATATTGATTTGTCTTATAATTCTGTACATAAAAATACTAAAATACAATTATGAAAAAATAAATAGTTCATAAGATATTTTATATTTTATGTCAGAAATATACTAGAATATTTATAATAAAATATGAAATTCTGATAAATTATTGATTTTTTGATAAATGTATCTTAATATTTTTATATAATAGACTAACTAGAGGAATTGTATTAACAAAAATATATAATTCATTCATTTTTACAAATGGCGACCATATAGAAATGTTGACAATGATTCATTTGCAAATGAATTGATATGATAATATGGCCGCCTCTAAATCTTACAACTTTTATTTGATATATTTTTTTCTAAAATTACGGGATATCTAAGTATTCAAAAATAAAATAAGCACCTTATATAAGCTTACCAAACGTAAGGAATGTTAATATTTCGGAAATTAAGCATTTTTGAAAAAAATGCACACGCGCGCGCGCACACGTACACGCGCGCGCACACACACACACACACACACACACACACACACACACACACAAGAGGTATAAATTCGACTGGGCAATTTCCACGCGATACACTATGAATAATATTAATGCGGGCAGTATATAACTATTATAACTATCAAATCTTATAAAAAGATGTTTAATGGAAAAAGACTTTATTTTAGTGCTTTGGAATGCTCTCGAGGTTAACTACAATAATATACAATAAGAAATGAAGCCTTTAATTTCAAAATTTCAATTTAATTTTTACATGCTCTTAATCGCCCTTAAACGCTATCTAGAACCGTATTAATGTTGTTATGTAATGCGCATTTTAAAACTCTACAACTTTTATATGCATTTTTTCAAAAATACTTAGTTTCTGAAAAAACTAAAAACTTTCAGAAAACTCTATATATAATACATATAATATCATACCTTTATTACATCTGATAATTTACTTATTTTTGGTTCAAATAAAGAAGGACGTGCGAAAAAAACCATTCTTCCTTCATTATCCGGCTTTCGTAGAAAAAAGAATATTCTAAATGCAAATAAAATATTTCAGTAGTTTTTAAAAATGTTAAAACATTTTTCTTTGTTTTTAATATTCACAAATTCTTAACTTAAATTTTATTCTTAACAGAATATAATTAATAAAAATGAAAATAAAAATCTTATAAAAAATTCATAAATTTTTGTACTTCAATAAATGTTTATATTTTGAAATACGTGTCGTTACCCCAAATTGAGGAGTATTTGCAATTCCGGTCGAAATGGATCCTTGTTTGTGTACCATTCTGGTATATTAGATCGCAGTTTATAATAATTTTGAATTCTGATCTTAGTTTCCTCGATATTAAACTTACAAATCCTCAAATATTGAAGAATATTAAAATCATCTAAATAAAGTAGTAATCCTAGTTATTAATTTATCAGATCTCATATCATTATAATCACATTAAATAATCAGATTTTAAAGATAATTTTCAAAAACTTTTAATTTATAATATTAATAACGTTTTATTATACAATTATTATACAATATTTTTAAGGAAAGGACAAGAATTATTATTCAATTATTAATCAATTTTTATATAGCTTCTATCTCTCTTAAGTGACATAAAAACATTATATTAATAACATGCAATATTAATATTGCAATAATTATATGCATATATTATCAAATATGTTTACATGTGACCAATTAAATTTACGAATTCTTGCAAAAGTGATTACTTCAATTAAGTGCTATTTTAAGAATTCAAAATCGTAAATAATGAAAAATGTGATAAAAATTGGAAATTTAAAGATCATTTCAATTAAAATTAAGTAAAAATTGTTCTAAATCAACGAGATATTTAAAAAAAATAGAAAAACAAAATTAATTCAATCAATCCAGTTACGTTTTAAAATAATGGACTAAATCATGATTATATAATATCTTCCACGATGCATGCATAATTTTGATCTTGAGCATAGATAAGTCACTTGCTCAAGTTAATTGCTCTATTAATTTCTTTGTGTCATTTCAGAACTAAATATATCTTAAAATTTTTCCACTATAGTGAAAAATACTATTCTAATTAAATATTAAACTATATAATTATAAATAATCCAACGAGTGCTTCACACACATCGTGTTTTATCGAGCTAAATATCTAATCAACTCTAATTTTTCAATTACCGATTGAAGACACTAAATCGTAATTAAATTTTATCAAATAATAGTTTAACGTGTTTCCTACTGTTTACAAAAATCTAATTTAATACTAGCCAACTTAAGACTGGCAATTATCTATTTTGTATATTAATAAAGCAATGAACAACAAAATTTTTAATACTCAAAGTAATGAATCACTATCTTTTACTATTAAATTTTCATAAAGATAATAATTATGCTATTGTTTTTACCAATTCGTTTGCGTAAGTCGTTATTTTCCTGTATCCAATGTTTAATCTCTGCTACGGCGTTTTTTCTAGTCTCGTTGGTTTCATTTAAATGCATCTTTGCATAAATTTTCTGCTCATTCGTTAGCTTCCAACACTGATGAGCACTCGCCATAATAACAGTAAGCATGCAACTTGCGTCTTCTAATCGCAGATGTATACTGTCAGTACGACGCGGCATCACCGATAAACAAAGTTGAAAATGCATCGAAACTGCATCACAATATAACCAGTATGAGATATCAGTACTTCATTGGTTGGTACTTCTTTGATTCTTATTTTCCGTATCACGTGATCATGCCATTATGTTAAGAAGTGAAAAAACAAGAACGAATGTCGGAATAATAAGAATCCTAAATATACCGCACTTATGATTGTCCTTTAACTCGTCTGTGTCTTTTTACCGTCTACGTTCCTGTTTAATTTCATTGAGTGCTAATAATGTAACCTGCGCGAATAAATTTGCGCGAACCCGTATTCGATTGTTAAATGTCCATATTGGTTATATTATGGTAGCATATTGTTAAGAATCTTATCATATAATCTTTACTATCATGCATTTTTAATGAGTCATCTTCAAAAACCGCGCCATCTGTAACAGATAACTCAGCGAATTTAAGAATTCGCTGCGGGAAGTGCTTATGATAAACATTATCTCACGAGGAAATACGCCAAGTTAGTTAGTTTAATAATTAAATTTTTTTAAAGAATTTTTCTAAAGAAAAATTTAATTACTAAATTCTTCATTTTATATTGCATATCAATTTTTAC